AAAAAAAAAAAAACACAGATAATGATTTTTCTCACATTTTTATCATATTTTGTATATTAAAATTGTACACTGACATGTTACATGTTACCATAAAGTGTGTACTATTTTACTATACTATTGAGAAGGTCAGTATGCAGTTTGGGACACAACCTTTAAATTGCTAGCTGCCACTGAAAATAAATGACTTACAGAAGATGTGAACAGGTTGTATAGTGGATCCAAAATGTACATTACAACCTGTGATAGTGCTTGTATTACACGCAAGAAGCTTTCATCCTTACCAAAGGGTGGCCTTTAGTGAATCTGTTTAAATTAGCTTAAATATAGATCTGAAATATTAAGGGTTCTTGAGCCAAAGAACGCTCACTGAGCTGCCACCTATGCCTCTGAATACTATTTGTATTTAGTATAGTATAGTATAGCATAGTATAGTATAGTATACTATAGTAATAGTATTATTCTGCTCTGGTTATGTTGTCTACATATTCTGGGAATTCTTTATTCTGTACCAAAAGAACATCTCATAACCGTGAAAAGCAATCAATTTGCTTACCATATGTTGGCATGACATCCAGCACATCCACCTGAACCCAGTGGCTAAACTCGAAGGCGTCACCGCAGTTCACCCTGCAGATATAGAAGCCAGCGTCTCTCAGCTGGACAGGACTCAGCACAAGGTCTGAAGAAGAACTACCAGGAACCTAAAGGAACCAAAAAAAAGCCAATACTGATTGAAAGCCATGATTGCAAATTTTAAGAATGTACCTGAAGGTATCCAAATGATATAAAAAGTTATGGTTAGGGAAAGGGAGCGGGGTTAGCAGTACAAAATCCAATCAAATCACTCTCATTCAATACAACGTCTATTAAAACTGTACTTGTGACTCTCAACCATGCAATAAGCTGTATAGCATCTCATTTTACTTTGCTGTTGTATTACCCTCACCAAAGCATTATGACACTTTGGTTTTGGTATTTATCACATACAATTTTATAATGCCTTATGCTGTCTGCATGCGATAAGGATATATGTGTGTAAACATGTCATATACTGCACTGTCATATACTTGTCATTTCCGACTCTGGTATATGTATATTTGGTGAAGAAAAGGTTTCTGAGTTTATTTCTCATTCAATCCCTCATATGTATTTTGATTAATAGGACACTCCCAAATACTTCCTCTAGTAATGTACCTCTTCTTTTGCCTTGAACCACTGGTACTGCATGATGGAGCCCGAGGTGGCAGCAGCATAGCAGCTGAGGCGAACGCTGTGTCCAACTATCACAGCCACAGACTGAGGCTGGATGAGGATTTGAATCCCTGTTGACATCCATTAAAAATATTCATAAGCAAAAGCTGAACAGATTGATGTAGTTTACTTCCACTGTGACATTTTATAAGTAAAGTTAAAATGGCTAATTCTGAGTGCATTTGTTAAAGGTTCTTAATGGTTCTTTATGATCATCTGAGTGGACACAGGACACAAACTGTCTTAAAGCCCTCTGATATTGTGACTCTGATGTCACTAACAACCTACAGAGTTGGTTTGTTTACCATGTCCATATCAGTGTTAGATCAATATTGACATTTACAATCATTTGAATTGTACTGTGTGGTTTCTACTGGAAATTTTCCTCAGACCACATGCCAACAATCTAATGTTACTGAGATAGAGATATAATATATATACCTCCATCCTCTTTACCGCTTATCCTACACAAGTCATGGGGAGCCTGGAGTCTACCCCAGGAGACTCAGGGCACAAGGCAGGGGACACCCTGGATAGGGGTGCAGGGCACAATTGCACACATACTCACACACCACAGACAATTTAGAGATGCCAATCAGCCTACAACACATGAAACAGGAGTAACAGGGGAAAACCCCTGAAGCACAGGGAGAACATGCAAACTCCACACACACAGGGCAGAGGCGGGAATCGAGCCCCCAACCCTGGAGGTGCGAGGTGAGCGTGCTAACCACTAAGCCACAATGCCCCATATATATATATATATATGTATAAATAACTGCTGGGTTATTGTGTATATCCACTTGCATTGCCAGAAATTTTACCAGAATTTTAAATGTAGAATATACCTGATCTCTCTGGTATCCAACCACCTCCCAAAAACATGCCAACAGCTGGATTGGCTAGGTAAAACAATAACCCCTAGATGTGAATGAATGTGTGTGTGTGTGTGTGTGTGCACATGGTGCCCTGTGATGGACTGGTGTCCCATGAAGGGTGTATCACCTCCTCACACCCAGTGTTCCCTGGATAGGCTCTGGAAGACCCACAACCATGGACCAGGATAAAGTGATTACAAGATAAATGAATGAATAATGGAATGAATGAATGTACCTGATTTAAGACACTGAAGGGCTTCAGTGTGTCCCATCATTTTTAGAAACTCCACCAGGTCCCCCACTGTGCAGCCTCGGTCTCCCATGAGTCTCAGCAAACTGCGAGATGGGCTGCCCTCCACCTCCAACACCTTCAGAGAGCACATCTCCATGTCCCCCAAACTGAGAGACAGAGAGAGAGAGAGAGAGAGAGAGAGAGAAAGAGTTGAAACTGGCACAAACTGTAAACAAAATCAAATAAATAAACAACTGGAAGAACTATTCAATTCAATACAATTCAATTTTATTTGTATAGTGCTTTTAACAATGGATATTGTCACAACGCAGCTTTACAGAAATAAATTCAAATATTTACAATATATTTTTGTGAATCCATTTATCACTGTGAATTTATCCCTAATGAGCAAGCCAGTGGCGACGGTGGCAAGGAAACTAGAATTGACAATCAAAGATAACCAAATCCCACTAGACTTACCCATAACCAAAAAGGAACTCATAGACCAAATTAAAAGCATAAAACCCAAAAAAGCATCTGGACCTGATGGAATATTAAATGAAATGATAAAACATACCAGTTCTAAATTCCGAGTGGCCATCCTAAAAGTATTCAATATTGTTCTGAGTGTAGGACACTTCCCTGACATCTGGATTCAAGGGCTGATAACACCAATCTTTTAAAATGGAGACAAATTTGACCCCAATAACTACAGGGGAATTTGTGTGAGCAGCAACCTGGGAAAGTTATTTTGTAGTATAATAAATTCTGGACTTTTGGAATTCCTTACAACACACAACATCTTGAGTAGAAGTCAAATTGGATTCTCACCAAATTATCGCACATCCGGCTACATCTACACGTTACGTACTCTAATTGAAAAATACGTTTGTCCAAAACAAAAGAAAATTTTTTGACTGTTTTATCGACTTTGAAAAGGCGTTTGATTCTATCTGACACCAAGGATTAATTTACAAACTTATTGAATGTGACATAGGGGAAAAAACTTATGACCTTATTAAATCAATGTACACTAAAAGTAAATGTGGAATAAAAATTAACAACAAATGAACAAAATATCTTCCCCAGGAACACAGAGTGAGACAGGGCTGATGCTTATGCCCAACATTATTCAACATTTACATAAAGGAACTGGCGACCAGTCTGGAGCGATCAGCAGCCCCTGGTCTCACTCTGTGCGACTCAGAAATCAAATGCCTGCTCTACGCAGATGACCTGGTCCTGCTGTCTCCCACTGAACAGGGCCTTCAGCAGAACCTGGACCTGCTGGAGAAGTACTGCCAGACCTGGGCCCTGGCAGTAAACCTCAAAAAGTCTAAAATCATGACCTTTCAGAAAAGATCCAGTTCGCGGGGAACATGACACACATTCACATGAGGAACTAACCACATAACTCACTCATCGCACTATAACTATCTAGGACTAAAAATCACTTCCACAGGCAACTTCAACTCTGCAGTGAATAAACTGAGAGAAAAAGCCCGCAAGGCATTTTATACCATCAAAAGACAATGTCCCTTAGAGATTCCTGTTAGAATTTGGCTGAAAATATTAGAATCAGTAATTGAGCAGATTGCCCTCTATGGCAGTGAGGTGTGGGGGCCACTAACAAAACAAGCATTTACCAAATGGGAAAAACATCCAGTTGAAATCCTGCATGCAGAATTCGGTAAAAATATCCTACAAGTACATCGGCACACAACAAACAACGCATGCAGGGCAGAATTAGGCAAATATCCGCTAATTATTAAAATACAGAGATGGGCAATCAAATTCTGGAAACACCTAAAACTGAGTGACTCCCAATCACATCATTACAAAGCCCTGCAATAACAAGAGTCGGAAAGCAAGGAAAACAGTCCCTTCTCTCAGATGATCCGAAGCTTTAGCCCTGAAGGATCACCAACACCTACTAACCTGCACCACACTGACACTTTAGACCAGAACAACAACATCTAACAAATCAGATTAGACCAATTTACAATACAAATGAATCAACTACAACTACATCACCTATCAGGAAAAAAGAAAGGTTGTGCTTAGACTGCAACCCAAACACAAGTGAGACAGAGCTGCACTTCCTAACAGAATGCACAAAATACACAGACATCTGAAAAAACATCTACCCCAAAATTAAACACCCACACCAAACACTTGATCTATCAGACAGTGAAAAACTCCGACTGCTACTAGGAGAAGATAAAGACTGCTGTATGTTAGCAGCACAATACATCTCGGCCACAATATTAGGAACAGCGAGTGACCTGCCTCGCCCTTGTGTCTCTTCTAGTTGTTATGATTGCTCTTCTTTATTATTATTGCTTTATTATTAAATTCACTTTTATCCTGTAATTTTACTCAATTTATTCTTCTTATGTAAAAATCTTTATTACATAAATTCAAAAAGGGTGACATTATTCACAAGATTGCAACCTCAAAAGATATTTTTTTAAAAACCACAGGTAGAGAGAGAGAGAGAGATGGGGGAGCGAGAGAGAGAGATGGGGGGAGAGAGAGAGAGAGAGCGAGATGGAGGGGGGGAGAAATACAGAGAGAGAGAGGGAGAGAGAGAGAGAGAGAGAGAGAGAGAGAGAGAGAGAGAGTTGAATAAAAATCTTTATTACATAAATTCAAAAAGGGTGCCATTAATCACAACATGCAACCTCAAAAGATATTTTTTTAAAAACCGCTAGGGAGAGAGAGAGAGAGAGAGTTGAATAAAAATCTTTATTACATAATTTCAAAAAAGGATGCCATTAATCACAACATTGCAACCTCAAAAGTTATTTTTAAAAAAATGCAGGTAGAGAGAGAGAGAGATGGAGAGGGGGGAGAAATACAGAGAGAGAGAGAGAGAGAGAGAGAGAGAGAGAGAGAGAGAGAGAGAGAGAGAGAGA